TAATACTAGAAAAATAATAAAATATAACGAAATAACAATAATAGAAATAGCAAGATAATAATAATAATAATAATAGTAATAATAATAATAATAATAATAATAATAATAATAATAATAATAATAATAATAATAATAATAATAATATTAGGTTGTCAAATATCTCCCTTCCGCTTTTTTGCTCTTGGTTTATAATACAAAAAGGCGGAAGGGAGATATTTGACAACCTTATAATAATTTACAAATTTATGAGATCGTTTGGAATTTTTGTTTGGGCGCGCTTCCGAGTAATATTATTATTAGTGTCCTGATACTAATTATGCTAAGACCATAAATCAATCACAAAGGCAGGACATCAAATAGGGTATTAAAAAGTATAGGATAGGATATTAAAAAATTTGGAACTTTGAATTGTAGACGTGGGTACAGAACAACGTCTGTAGGGTCATCTAGTGTATATGTATATATATATATATGTATATATATATATATATATACAGGGCCGGTCCTGGGGTCCTTAGCGCCCGCATGCAACTTTTTTTCTAGCGCCCCCCCCCCTATTAATTTTCACCGTTTTAACAGTTTATCATTAAAATTATATAAATATTTACATATTTTTAAAAATTAATTTTTAATTATTCTGGATTTAGTACACAAAAAATTAGATATAATCTAGAAGAGTATAAAATATATTGATTTTAAATTTATTTATTATTATCGATATCAATAAATAAAACAATCCCTGTCATAATTTCACATTTTAGTAATATTCAATATGTAGTAAATTGGTTAAGGATGAAAGTTCGACTACCATAGCAAAAGAATTAATATTTTTGTTAGATTAAAGTTATAGAATTTAAGAAATGCATTTCAAACATAGTATTTATTATTTTGATATAAAGATCTTGATTTTCATTGACATTTCTTAAATTCTATAACTTTAATTTAACAAAAATATTAAGTGAAATAAATAAATTAATTTTTATTTATTCTGGATTTAGTGCACAAAAAAATAGATATAATCTAAAAGCGTATAAAATGTATTGATTTTAAATTTATTTAAAAAATCGAGGCGATTCGCGGGTTGATTATAGTCAAATATTTTGAAATTTTCAATTATTTTTAACGTATGTGCAATATTAATATTTAAAAAAACTAGCATTTAATTTTCAAACATAACACTCGTATTTCATGTTGGATTTTTTAAATTTTAATTTAATTTTTCATCATTTACAATAACCAAAATTGCGTCGTAAACTTCTCCTTATTGATATCGTAAGAGCCGTCATATTCAGAGTATCAGCTTGTTGTTTTAAAGCTAAATTTTTAACGTATTTTAGAAGTATTGTTCAAAAATCAGTAAAAAATGCAAAGAAATTACACATTTCTTTAACAATATAAAAACACTTATATTTGATATGTATTATTTCTGTATAGTTAATAATTATTAAATTTAGAGTATGGGCACCACTAGGTATAAAACAAGCCTTAAGATTTTCGTTCCAAAGTAAATTTTGCTTCCATTTTTCATATTTGTTCCACGCATGTCTTCAACATTCAAAGTTCAACAAATGCGAAACATTTGCAACAAAAGCAAAAGTTACAATTCAATTTCTCGGAATAAACAAGTCATTTTCTAAGCACTGACACCCCATTTTTCATAATTTGTTTATATTTTTTAACAAATTCCGATTCAACTAAATCAGCTCGCAATTTTTCGTCAATAATGCCCAATAATTAATTTAATCTTTCGCTGGTTTGGTATTAAACACTAGATAATTTATTTTTCGATTCCACGGTAACTTCAAACAAAGAAAAAATTTAATAAGTAGATTAAGCAATAAACAAAGCTGTTATTTACTAATTTGCAGAATTATTAATCGGTTAATTGTTTCTACTGACATCACACTGCAAAATAAATATGCTTTTTGTGTCTCCGTATCCCTAGTTAAGTTAAATTATTTATTATAATTTATTAAGCATTCTAGATTTTAAATAAATAATTCTAGATTTTATATAAAAAATATAAATATTATATTTTAAATTTAATTTCCGAAACTCGTTTTGGCGCCCCCTAAGGCTTACGCCCGCATTTTTTGCATGCATCGCATGCAAGGCAGGACCGGCCCTGTATATATATATATATATATATATATATATATATATATTTCTTTTAAATTTCTCCTCCGTCTTTTGCACTTCATGTGACCAATTCGCGCATGCTTTTTCCGCGCGCCACGTCGTCGTCCGGCAGGCGAAAACAACCGAATTACGAATCGTTACGAAAACGGAAAAAGGCGAAAGGAGTTCGCATGCGCCGAAAATTCTACGAATGCAGGACCTGACTCATCCTGATGCACGCGAATGCATTATTAAGGGATAATGGATACAAAGATTCGAATATTGTTGGTAAAAGAAATACGGGATCAAATTGTTTTAACCGTTAAAAATCACTACAAAAAATAATTACAGTAGAATCCGATTAGAATGACGCCGGATATATTGACAACCGCTTATTATGACGTAATCGCACTAGGAAGTTTGGTTTCCATATAAAATTCCTAAAAAAAATCAGCTGTCTAGTCGGATATATTGACATCGCTTACATTGACATGTCGCTTATAATGACCCATTTTTGCAAAAAAATATGTCCAATTATAATGACCGACATGATTTTACATGATGTGGCCAAGTCTACGAAAGCAATTGCTATGTCTTTTGTGCACAATAGCACCAGGGACTGTTTTTACAATAAAATTATGTAAAGAAATCAATCAAAAATTACTAAATTATGGGTAGTGTAACCCAATTATTAATGGTCCACCACGGATATCTCGTAAACAAATAAAGTCAGATTTTTTTAACAATTATATTTGATAGTAGAGGGCAAAAAATGTATAAAATCATAACCAGCCTTCACCTTTATTCTTATGACTTTGCTGACTCATCCTGATGCACTCGAATGAATTATTAAGGGATAATGGATACAAAGATTCGAATATTACAGGTAAAAAACTACGGGAACAAATTGTTCTAACCGTTAAAAATCACTACAATAAAAATTTATAAAGCAATTATTTATTTTTGTTCACGGTTTCAATATATTGTATTTAAATATTAATTAAAGTGTTCTCAGGGTGGTCCTTAATATGGAAATTTTCTAATTTCTTTACGCCCATGAACTCCAATGCTTTCAAATTCATAAAATAAAAATGCATTTACAAAAAACCGCAATAAAATCTGTCAATTATTATAGATGATTGAAAACTTTTTTGCCTATTGGCAAGTTATTACTCGTTGGTTATCAGTACGAAGCAAGTTTTCACATGTGCTCTACGTATTAATTATTAAATTGGAATATAATTACAAAAAATTACAGTAAAATCGGTTTATTATTATAGATTTTAGATAATTTTTTGCCAATTGGAAAGTTGCACAATCGTAGCATTCAGTATTGGTTGGATTCGAAGCGAGTTCTAGTCTCTGATCTGTATAGAGTCATGTTATTTACGACTTACAAATGTGTAAAATCTTATATTACACGAGTTTGTCTCGCATTTTCTGATTTCTTTAATATATTTAACCCTTTCCACTCGCGAATTCCGAGATTTATATGAATTTTGACGCCGGAGTGGTGCCATCCGAGTGGAAAGGGTTAATTTAAACACGAATACATAATAAACAAAAAAAGTTTTTTTAATAAACTATTTATTTATTTATTTACTGTCGACGTTTCGGAACTAGGTACGTTCCATCTTCAGGACATCTGTCAAGAAACATGATCTTGATGAGATTTGAGCAAACAATATGTTTAAGAAAAGAAAATGGATTTTTTAATTAATAAATTAGTTGAAAAAATAATAATGTACAGAAATATGATAATATGATCAAAATGAAGATGATAACAATAAATGAGTGGATTATATAACAGGATATTAAAAATAATAAAATTTTTTGAAAGTTTGAAAAAAAAAGTTAATGAAAAAATTTGAATTAATCACCTGTATGATTGAATATACGTTAGCACTTTTTTACTAAAAAAGATTTTATCGAAAAAATGAATTTATGAGTTTCTTTTTAGCCAAATAGGCAAATTCTGTAAATAAAAATTTAAGTTATGCCTTATTTTAAGTTTGTTATTTGAAACAAACAATATTATTCTCTCAATATTATGAGATGGGCTGTTTGTAATGAACTGATTCAAATTCACACGTGCGCTACTTGAAGACTGTAAGGATGTGTGTGCGTGTTGTATTTATATGTGAAGATGTAAGTACTTAAATTATTGATTTTAAATGGAAGTCGATATTAATTGTTTGTCAAAAAGTATAAAAAATTTAAATAAGAATCATGTAACAGGTTGTGATCTGATCTAATGTTAACACTATTAGAAACGTTCATAAGAATAAGACAACTTTCCGCATAATCTCCTAAAGATGTAATTTTCATGATATAAGATCTTTGGAATGAAGTTAAACGAGTGGGCATTTTCAATAGAGTGCTGTACTAGGGTACTTTTTCCTAAACATATTGTTTGCTTGAATCTTATCATGTTTCTTGACAGATGTCCTGAAGATGAACGTACCTAGTTCCGAAACGTCGACAGTAAATAAATAAATAATTAAACAAACAGTTTATTAAAAAACTTTTTCTTGTTTTTTATTACTTTTCGGATTCTTGTTCAAAACTCTACAAATTATTCACAAATTGAAGATTCTACCATTTATTAATATATATATATATATATATATTAAATGATTAAAATTGAGTAGAAAAACCTGTCTGTACTGTCACTGTTATATATTCTCTCATTTTATAAATAAATAACTTAAAATAATCTTTACACATCAATCAATCATTGGCTTGTCTTATATAATTTAAATATATTTAAGTAATTATATATATATATATATATATATATATATATATATATATATCTATATATATATATATATATATATATATATATATATTAAATGGCAATATATTGTATTGACTTACGATATGCTATACATTACATTTGTATTAAGCAATTAACTAAAATTGTGATAATTGTCAATTTGTGCTATGCGACATGTCTTGGTCTAAGAATTATGTATAATTAATTCTTATCAACGGATAGTTGTTTCATTTTTGGTGAAGGCTTTTTTCCATATATCATATCAAGGAACAAACCTAGAAAAAATACATTATTGATTTTGATACATATATATAAATATATATATATATATATATATATATATAATTATATATATATTTATTTATTTATAAATATATTTACCTGTGAATACCAAAACAGCTCCAAACCACTGCCTGGCAATCAAAGGATTTGCAAGAAATATCACAGAGAACAAAACTGTAAAAAATTTCCTAGTAGTCGTCACAACAGAACAAGCTAACGGACCAAATTTAGACACCTAAAAAATAACAATATTATAAATTCCAATTCCTTATAAATCTAATTAGTCCTTTATCCATTTACCATCATGAATATAAAAAGTTGCCCCAAGGCTCCTGTGACGGCCAAAGCTGCCAATTGTGTCCCGATATAAGGATATCGCACTGCAAAGCTTAAAAACTCTCTTCCTTCGCCACTTAGTAATAAAGCAACCGATATATAAGTTGCAGACCAACCATTGGTTGCTACCATCATCTTTTCAGCGGACGGTGGTTTGTGGGATTGGGCTGTTGAAGTGGATGGTTTGTGGGCTCTCATTCGATCCTAAATAGAAGAAGACACATGATAATAAAATAAAATAAAATGATAAAAAATATAGTAAAATGTATTTTGGTATACCTGTATAGCACCCGTCAAACCATCCATCGACAGTGACATAACAAGCAGTAACTCTCCAATGCCAAAAGAACTATCCACATTAACACCTGCAAAAAAAATAATCATCAACAAACACAAACACTTAAATTTTATTATAAGAGAAACTTACTTGATTTGTTATCTTTGTACATAAATAACACAACTCCTATTACAATAAGTAGCACACATAAATATCTAAACATTGGATAACTTTTGTGACCTATCAAGACACCTAAGAGCATCACCGGGATGGGTTTGGCTGCCTTTCCAACCACCTAGTAAAAAATAAGTTGGACATATATATATATATATATATATATATATATATGTAGGTATGTATGTATTATTATTTTATTACCTGTGTAGGATAAGGTACCCACTGCAAAGCCATATTCGAGCTAACCATAGCCAACAAATAAGTCAAAGCAGAGCTTGCATAATAAACTTTAGGAGTCCTATCTTCATCTTGCGGTTTAAAATATAAAATCCCCTTCGCAAACACATAATTCACCACACACTGTACAAACACTAAGGCCAAAGCACATTTGAACTTTTCTCCCTTTTCACCTTTTTCATTAACCTCATCACCGTATTTACCTCTTGTTATTTTTTCTTGTAAAATACCGAAATAAAAATAACAAACAAAGATACCGGCCGCGTAGAAAAGGAATTTACTGTTTTCATTCATATTGAGTAATTGCAATAGATTTTTGTATAAATATTTTTTGAGGTTATGAAGTACAAAAGCATATCTTATACAATAAATATGTTATGTGTTGCTATTTAAACATTGTACAGATGTGATGAGATAGTGGACACGTATCTCTAAATGATTTTTGCAATAAAATTGTGCAAAATTTGCACAATTTTTGATTTAGCTGTTTTTAAACCAACCGTATGTACACACGTCAGTTTGTAAACGTCATATATAAAATTGACAGTTGGGGATGAGGTAACATGTAGCGCCATCTTGTATATATCAAAATGTCAAAAGTGTAAATTATTGACTTTGTTGTTAATAAAATATTGTTTTATTTTGATACAAACAATGTATCAGACGTATAAATTTAGTTTCTTGTTTTATCAAAAGTCAGTTTTTTGTAAATGTTACACAAAAAAATGACAGTTGTGAACAACGTAACGTGTAGCGCCATCTTGCATACAAGAAAATGTCGAAATTGTAAATTATTAAGTGTATTGTGAATAAAATATTGTTTTATTTTGATACAAAATATTAAAACAATTAACACGGTGTATAAATTTAGTTTCTTCTTCCATCAAGTCAGTTTTTTGTAAATGTCATACAAAAAACTGACAGTTGTGAACAACGTAACGAGTAGCGCCATCTTGTATACAAAAAAATGTCGAAAGTGTAAATTATTGACTTTGTTGTTAATAAAATATTGTTTTATTTTGATACAAACAATGTATCACGTGTATAAATTTAGTTTCTCGTTTTATCAAAAGTCAGTTTTTTGTAAAAGTCGAACAAAAACTGACAGTTGAGAACAGCGTAACGAATGGCGCCATCTTGCATACAAGAAAATGTCGAAATTGTAAATTATTAACTGTATTGTGAATAAAATATTGTTTTATTTTGATACGAAATATTTAAACAATTAACACGGTGTATAAATTTAGTTTCTTGTTTTATCAAAAGTCAGTTTTTTGTAAATGCTATACAAAAAAATGACAGTTGTGAACAACGTAACGAATGGCGCCATCTTGTCCAACCAAAGTCAAAATTGTAAATTATTGACTTTATTGGTGAGAAAAATTAGTTTTCTTTTGATACAAAATATTTAAACAATTAACACGGTGTATAAATTTAGTTTCTCGATTTATCAAAAGTCAGTTTTTTGTAAAAGTCGAACAAAAACTGACAGTTGTGAACAACGTAACGAGCGGCGCCATCTTGTCCAACCAAAGTCAAAATTGTAAATTATTTACTTTATTGGTTATTGTGAATAAAATATTGTTTGAACGGTTCTTCGATTGGCCAAAATAAATAAAATTATATTATTAAGTTTTTTGAATTATTCAAATCGGACGCTTAGTTCTCTCAAAAACTCGATTTCTATTTTTTGCACTTTTTGCTCCGTATCTTCGGAACGGCTAGACCTGCCTTTGCCAAAAACTAATCAGCACGTCTCCTTATCAATACGAATCGAATGGTTTTTGAATTATTCAAATCGGTTGTTCCGTGTTCTCGAAATCGTCGACGAAATTTGTATCCGCCACACACACATACATATGTAAGTTTTCTAAGGTATGCCAAAATGTTCAGAAACCTTTCAAACGTTAAGATATGTAAAAATTTCAAAAAACGTCAAAATTTGAATGTTATAAAATTTTATTCTAATAAAAAACATTTAAACAATCAACACTTAACAATACTGTTGTTTATAAATTTAGTTTAAAATCTATCAATCATCACTCAACTGTTTATAACCGCTGCGACATTTATTAAAACTCACTTTTCCATAAATGATATCCAGAAACAAACCTTATGCAAAATCATAAAACATTAATAATAATATAATTATTATTAATAATAACAAAGTTTTTTATCTTACCTGTAAAGACTACAGCAGCTCCGACCCACTGCCTTGTGTTAATAGGATTTGCAAAAAATATCACAGAGAACAAAACCGTAAAAAACTTCCTGGTCGTTGTTACAATTGAACATGATAAAGGACCAAACTTGGATATCTACAAAATAATTCATACTTATAGCAATTGTTATTTTACAAATATATATATATATATATATATATATATATGAGTACTTACAATAATATAAATAAATAGTTGTCCAACAGCTCCAGTTACAGCCAATATAGCCAGTTGTTGTAAAACGTACGGATAACAAACAGAAAATCTAATGAAGTCTTTGCCTTCGCTAATAAAAAGTAGAATTAAGGCCAAGTAATTTGCGGACCAGCCGTTTATTGCTAACATCATATTTAGGCCTGAGGGTGGTGTGTGTTCTTCAGTGCTTGTTTTGAGTACATTTGGTGGTTTGTAGTCTCTTATCAAATCCTAAAACATAAATATATATTTAGTTTATATCTACATATATATAAAAATAAGTCGGGTTTTCCTTCCTGACGATTTAACTCCAGAACGCACGAACCGATTTAGATAATTTTGCATTCGTCATTAAAAATTCGAGTAATGACATTAGTGAGAATTATCAGAATTATGCTTGCAAATAAGTCAACGAGCAATCCTTGCCGCAAGGAATAATGATGTACACGCACTGAATTTCACCATTGAATCAAAAATTTCTGGAGATTTGGTGACATACCAATGATTCCGACTTTTCTTTCGTTTGACTTCAAACGATTGCAATTTCCAGTTCGCCTTGCGTTCGCAATAACATGTCGCAAGGCCAATCGCTTAGTGTTTGCGGGATAAATTTCAAATAGATTATTTAGAAAATCATTGTTTTTCACATGGGCAGTTATACGTTGCCTGTTCACGAGTTGGAAAACCATCCGCTTTGTTTGTGTTAACGTCAGACCACAGAACAAAAAATGTGGTTTACCAAAGAGCACTTCAATGAAACGGATATTTTGCGGATTCACTTTCATTTACTTATAAAAGTTCAACTAAAAAACACTTAATTTTCGTAATCGAAATAAATTCATTACTGTTGTGTAATAAAATGAAATATTTCCTTTTCAAATATAAAACAAACAAAAAAAATCTTCATCTTTCTCACGAAACCATCTGGTGGCAAAACAGAGTTCGTCGGGTTTACTAGTATATATATATATATATATATATATATATATATATATATATATATATTATAATAGAAAAATACCTGCAGAGCTCCTAGTATGCCGTCCATCAGTAACGAGAACAAAAGTAGTATCTCGCCTATGCCAAATTTGTTAGTGGAACTACTATTGCCTATAAAAAATCAATTGAGTAAATATTCAATCAAATAAATTAATTATATATTCTAGTGACTATCCAATTCAAATAAAAAAATGAATCATTCTAATCATGTTCTTTTAAGCCTGATTCTAATTAGATCTTATTCGATTTGAATGAACTCGTAAAAAAGCAATTACAAGTCATTCGTTCTTTAAATCGAATCAAAATAAACTAATAATATCAATATATAAACTCATTAAAATATAAAAATTAATAACAGGGAGATAGATTATTTGATATCATGTTTTCAAGGTTTCAAGTTATTTTGAATCGTTTGACTCAAAAATTTGCAAAATCGATGATTTTTTTTCTAAACCAGATATACTATTTTTAAAACCTTACAAGCAAAACAAAAATTTGTTATAGGATCGGTCGAGCCGTTTCTAAAACCGAGTTTCTTTACAATTAGACAAAAACTGCGAAATTTTTTGCTCCACGTTTGGGAGAAAAAACTTGTACATATGATGTAATATATTTTGTTAGAAAACATTATTTGTATAATATTATCGTTTTAGTAAACTAGTGCATCTGGGCACTTACAGCTTTTTTTAATTCCTCTTCTTATTTTATTTTTAAGCACAATTTTTCGAGTATGTATCAATTTATTTTTATATACAGTACTCGACCGGGATTCGATCTTAGTACCCCACCAAAACACCTTAATTATAGTCTTTGTTGTTATATTAAACATACTTGTGCAAAAATCTACTATTGATGAAAAAACTGCTCGGCCGACCTTTACCAAAAATAATCGTGTGGCATTGTACCCCTTAAGGCAAATTTCTGGAACTTGCCGTGCCAAATTTATTTTTTTTAAAAAAGAATTTTTTTTTAAAACTTTGAAAAAATCAGATTTTTGAGAAATTTGAAATTTTGGATAAAAATTGAGAAAAACACTTTTTGGAAAAAAATGTTTTCAAATTTTGAAATTTGAAAGTTATATTATATAGATATAGTCATCGCAGTAAATCGAAAAAGAAAATATTTGCATATCTTTACATTTCAAAGGTTTCTGAATATTTTGGCATACCTAAAAATGGATGTGTGTGTGTGTATGTATGTATGGTTTCAATTATTCGTCCACGCTTTCGGGCGCACGGATCAACCGATTTTAACATTCGATTCCTATTGACAGAAAGATGTGCTGATTATTTTTTGGCAAAGGCAAGTCCAGCCGTTACGGAGATACGGAGCAAATATTGCAGAAAATAGAAATCGAGTTTTTTTTAAAAATAAATAATAATTTATTAATAAAATAAATAAATAGTTTTAACATTTCAATTCAGTTTATATAATTCTTATAAATATTTGAAAATGTTATAGTATTTATTTATAATAATCTGTATGAAAACGTTTAAAATTTCTCGAATATTTTATTACGGTACGGGAAGTTCCAGCAATTTGCCTTAAGGCACGATGCCATACACCACTAGTTCAATTTTGGCGTCAAACGACTAAGAAACATAATATAAGCAAATCGGATTTTCTGGTAAACACAAACTTCGGAAAATTAATATATTAATTATATATACATACTTGATTCATTATCCTTGTATAAATAAATCGATAGCAAGGCGTTTTTGCAAAAGGCACTTCTAGCTGTTTCGAAGGTATGGAGCGCAAAGGGTGTAAAAATGGTGATGTAGTTTTGAGAGAACGGATCATCCGATTAGATTAATTCAAAAAATCTTGCTTGTGTAGGCGGTGTGCAAGAACTGGTTTTACAAAAAATTTCGTACTTTCGAAAATTTTTAAAAAAATTCAATATTTCCAAAAAAATTTCGAAAAATATATTTTTCATTATTTTAAAAAAAATCTAAATTTCGAGAAAATTCAAAAAATATGAATTTAAAAAAAAATGATTTCTTACAAAAATTTGAGAATGTTTCAAAATTTAAAAATAAATCGGATACTTTTAAAAATTCCCAAATTCTCAAATAATTAAAAGAAAAAAATGACTTTTTCCAAAAATCCTAAAAAATTTACTAAGCTTTGGAAATTTTTTAAAATTATCAACAAAATCAAATTTAAAAAAAAATAAAGAAATTTCTAGTAAACACACATAAATTGTTTGTAGAATACGCTCGTCACCATATTTAAAAAGCACTTATAAGTTCACAGTATGTATTTATAATCTATTTGAAATCATTGTGATTAATTATTGAGGAACTTTCATTCCTCGAATGTTTAATTACGGTACAGGAAGTTCCAGCAATTTGCCTTATTGGGTGATTTTTTGTCAATACCCTCCTACAAACCTCACGTGATTAATTTAATTAGGGATGCGACTTTAATTATAAAGAAAAGACTTGTATTCGGAAACTTCGAAAATTAGCAAATAGGATTAATATAAAATACTCCTTTGGAAAATTGTTAATTTAATTATATATATATATATATATATATATTTCTATTTTTATATACACACTTGATTCATTATCCTTGTACATAAACAAAGCATTCCTGCCACGATCAAAACCACACAAAAATATTTAAACTTTTTATATTTCTTGCGCCCTATGAGAACTCCTAAGAGCATCACAGGAATCGGCTTGGCCGCCTTTCCGATAACCTGTAATAAAAAAACACAAATTAGTGTTAATTACAAAAACGTATTAAACAGAAATAAATATTTATCATGTATCTTTTATTACCTGTGTAGGATACGAGACCCACTGAAGGGCCATCGTGGAAGTCACCATGGCCCCTAAATAAGTCAAAGAAGCACCCGCATACAAAGTGTCAGGGGTCCTATCTTCATCCCGAGGGGTCACAAATAGAATAAACTTGGCAAATATGTAATTAACAACGCACTGGATAAAAACTAAAGTCAGGGCAAATTTAAAAGTTTCACCGGCTTCACCATTTTCATTCACTTCGTCGCCATAATGTCCTCGAGTTATTTTCTCCATCAAAATTCCTTGGTAGAAAAAGAACACGAAGATGCCACTTGCACATAGCACGAATTGTAAATTTTTATTCATGGTAAATGAAATTTTGGTTTAAGTGTGATTATTGACTGATTAGTTATTACTGGAGCTGTTGTTGAATGTTAAATAAAATTATTTTTTAAAATTATTTTTGACAAGACATGAAAGAACCCACGTGGTGTCGTACAAGAGTGCCATTAAGACCATCTTGTGTAGGAAATTTGAATTTGCATACAAGGAATTCTCAACATTTGGTTTGTTTTTAAAATTTTATCACTAAAGTTGAATAATAATAATGAAATTGTATAGATATTTTGAATACTTGCAATTATTTATATAATATGTAAATTGATAATAAACATTTGCATATTCACATTTTCGAAGTGTACAGACTGAAACTAATTGATGCATAATTTCTTCTATGTATTAAGGTGACCATATTTTTCTAAGTAAATTTTTGGTTATGCTAATCCGGTAAAATAATAACAGTTTTTTTATATAAATCTTTTTTTTATAATAATTGCGGACTTTTAGTAAGAACTTTTTTGTTCGATTATACGTCATACTTTTTCATCTATGATATTTAAATTATATGGATTTATATATTTTTCGCGCTGTTGGGCCTTGTATAATATTCTATTCGATTTTATTCATAAATATTTAAAAAAAAATAGCACTTGTTCGTTTGTTTTCATAATTTTTGTTAATTCTTCTGTTAATTTTTGAAAATACCGGGACCATGCAGGACAAAAGATCTAAATATGGTACAAATCATGCTTTTAAACCCGGGTCACTTAATATTATATCCGTTTCGATATTTAGAATCTTTTTAAGTTCTTTAGAAGAAAGTCTTTTAAGACAACTAGCACAATTTTCAGACTATTTGCAACATTTTCTAACAATCTATAATATTTTTGGGAATTTATAACGTTTTCAGATAATCTCCAGAAACTCCAGAAGTTTTAATTTGTAAGTTGTCTAAAAATTTTGGGAAATTTTACAAAAATGATGATGTATATGGTCAGAAAAGCTTGTAAATTGTCGAAAATGCATTAAATTATCCGTTGCAAATTGTTTGAAAATATATGCATACTTCATGTTGTCCAAAAATGCTCTGAAATTTCTATATTTGTTTCCTAATTTAATTAAATCAAACTTCAATAATTAATGACAAGAAATTTTGGATTGAAGTACAAGTTTCCGAAACTATTTCTTTATCAATTTAATTATTAGGTTTATTATTTTACAAAAAAGTTTAAAACATTTTTACATTTATAAATCATTATTTTATTTGATTAAAATTTTTAGAGTTTTACATACTAATGAGAAATTGAAAAACTAAATGCATATTTATTTCTACATGCATTCAATTAAATAGGAGTCTCTCAAATTATCATTATTATTATTAATTAGATAATATTTAGATTAATAAAAAACATAACTAGTGGTGTATGGCATCGTGCCTTAAGGCAAATTGCTGAAACTTCCCGTACTGTAACGAAATATTCGAAGAATATTAAATGTTTTCAAATAGATTATTATAAATATTGTAACATTGTATATTTACAAGAATTATATAAAATGAATTGCAAAGTTGAAATTACTTATTTAAAGTATATGAAAAACTTTAGTCAAAATTAAAATTATAATCTGAATTATTTTCAATATACACAAAAAAATATTTGGTAAAAAAAATTTAAATATTTTCCTCCAAAAGCAATTGTTTTGTCAAAACAAGCTGAAAGTTTTTTGAATCATTCAAATCTGACGTTTAGTTCTCTCAAAACTGCCATTTTTTAACATTTAGCTCTGTATCTCCGAAACGACTGGACCTGCCTTTGCCCAAAAACTAATCATCACTTACAAATTGAATGCTTTTCATATCATTCAAATCGGATACTACGTTCTCTCAAAAACTCGATTTCTATTTTCTGCACTCTTTGCTCTGTATCTCCGTAACGGCTAGACTTGCCTTTGCCAAAAACTAATTAGCACATCTTCCTATCAATAGGAATCGAATCATTCAAATCGGGTGAACCGTGTGCCCGAAAACTTCGATTCAAAATTGTCTCAACACATACACACACATCCATTTTTTTGAGTACGCCAAAATGTTCAGAAACTTCTGAAACGTGAAGATATGTAAAAAATTTTATTTTTGATATACGGCCCATTACTATAACATACCCTATGGGAAGTTAATTAATAAACAACTTATTAGGTAATTCAAAAAAAAATTATATCTTAAAAATCTGGAATTAATTACATAATAAGTTTTTTTTTTTAAGACCTTGCTTAAACAAATATTTATTTTTTATAAATTTAAGTTTACAAAATTTCAATAAACTTTGAGTTTTACGAAAAGTGGTAAATTATAATTTTTTTTTTTTTGAATTTGGAATTATAAAACGCGCCTTTAGAACGCACTACAATTACGTATTTTATTACAAGTCTTTTTAGAAAACTTAGCAAGTTTTTAGTGAAAGCAAAAAAATATATTTCAACATCTTAGATCTCTTCACGACTAAGATTCTCCATAATAAAATTTATCTTAGGTATAAAATCATATCTTCAAAAATTCCACCAACTAACGTTATAATAAAATTAGTCACAAAACCAAACCATTTATATTTCAAATACCTAAAAGTTACATAATTTTTTACTTTTACATATTGTCTTCTATTATATTTCAACAACCTTCGAATATACGCGTGCAATTTTATTATTTATTTTCAAATAAATCCTAAACAAAAATATAAAATTATTTCTACCACAAAAGAAACGCGGAAGGGGATGACTCGATATTTTGTTATCGTAGCTGCTCATAGAAAAAATACTTTGAACACTTGAAATAACAATTTCCGGGGGCCCCCTTGGATAATAGATAGATGGAACCTTATATGCCTATTTTGCCTTCAGGCAAGTTGCATTCAGATTTAGCAACTTTCCATATTGTCGAGGCGAATTTTTGAAATTTTGTAACGTGTCTGTCATTTCCAATTTTGCACTTTTATAAAAAAACGGCTTTGCCGATCGTTGTACGAACGAACAAGTCCTTATTTAGCTACAACGAAAGGTTTTTAAATTTTTTTAATTCATGCAAGCGCTTTTTGAGAAAAACGTCGACGAAAGGCCAAATTTTGCTTTTTTCAATTCAGAATGGCTTGAAACGTCGAAAAAAATTAAAATCAGCAAATCGGTTTATTAACTTCCCGTAGGGTAAGTTATAGTAATCGTCCAAAAATCGAAATCAAAAATTTTTACATTTCTCGACGTTTTGAAGGTTTCTGAACATTTTGGCATACCTCAGAAAAAATGGATGTGTGTGTGTGTGTGTGTTTTGTATGTCCGCGTTTTTTCGTCCACGTTTTCGGGCGCACGGATCAACCGATTTGAATGGTTTAAAAAACATTCGATTCCTATTGATAGGGAGATGTGCTGATTAGTTTTTGGCAAAGGTAGGCCCAGAGGTTTCGGAGATACAGAGCTAAATTTAAAAAAATGGCTGTTTTGAGAGAACTAAGCGTCCGATTTAGATGATTGAAAGAACTTTCTGCTTTTTTCAACAAAATAATTGATTTTGGAAAAAAAAAATTTTTGTTTCTAATTTTTTTTTCAAAAAATTTTTTTGTAATTTTGGATTAAAAATTCAAAAAATCACCCAAGCTAAGCACAGTCTAACTGCCACTCTCGTACAAATGTTTACCCAATTGCATTTAGACTGTTTGTGTACTGGAGCACTTTTCCAATTTTGTGAAAATATTGAAAAATGTGAAAATGCCGCCAAGCTGAGCACAGTATAAGTGAAAATGTCGCACAGAATTATTTGCAAATGCGTTTAGACTGTGACTATGCGGGAGCACTTTTTCAATTTTGTGTAAATTTGGCAACTATTTTTTTTTGGAATTTGATTCGAAATGAAATGACGATTGTTATGTTCTGGAGATATTAAATTGATTTATTTATAATTAACTTTCCATAGGGTAAGTAATCGCAAAAAAATCATGAAAATGAAATTTTTTTATATATCTCACGTTTCAGAGGTTTCTGAATATGTTGGCATACCTTGGAGAAAATTGATGTATGTGTGGGTGTGTGTGGGTGGTCGGATACAAATTTTCGTCGACGATTTTGGGAAACACGGATGAAAGCAATTTGAATAATTGAAAAAACATTCAATT